TCATCGGCGCTTACACCCCTGTCGTCGTATATCACAGAGTAATGTGCTGGTCTCGACGTTCCTCTACATTCCAGTGACTCACATCGCAGCGCGTCTGCTTAACAATCACTCATCCACCTGCCTCCCCGAGAATCCGGGTAATCAGCGGTCCTTTGCACACGCCCGATAATTAGCCCCTGGGCGGCATGTGCTCGTCCACAAAAATATTCTTAAAAATTCGAAATGTGATTCATCAAGCATATCTGCTGCCATCAGAGCAATGTTAGGTATATAATGTGCCCACTGCTGCGCTGCGAGACCCGCTTTTGCGCCCTGGGATTAGACGCTCGTCACCAGTGTTCTAAAAGGAACAAGATCGAACAATACGACATGTTCGAGTAGTTTTAACTGTTCCATTCTGTTCTGTTCTGAGTTTTATCTGCACTGCTGCAGCAGCCGCCGCGACTACGCTGCCTTGAGCCTTGTTCGTCTATTCTGGCTATGTTCGCCCATTGAATGGCCCCCATTCTTCTCCTCCTCTCTCCACGCCTTTTTCCCTTTTCCCATCGTATTTTTTCATTCTCGACACCGAGTGTGCCGGTATAGCTTTTTCTTATTTCTTCAAACGCTCTTTAAAGAGCCCCTTCATCTCTTGTTCGTCCGCCCAAGCCCTGTGGTTGCTCCCCGGTCGCTCTTTTCGTATATCCACCTTGTTTCGGTAACAACTACGGGACGGAATTTTAGTACAACACCAAGGACTATCTAGAGCTCAGTTCGGAACTTTTTGTGCAATTTTTATCAAATTATCCACCCTTATATTTCGATGGTTTCCATGTTTGGCTTGTGGTTGCAACTGCTCTGCGTCGCGTTCTTTGCTCATGGTGAGTGCCTATTACCCCAACATGTTGACAGTTTACTCACCCTTGTACTTTCTTCCATGTAATTTCCTGACCGTCTGGCGAAATGTAGTGGCCATAGCCTCGCCCACACAGCTCCGGCCGCGGCAAGACGCCTCACTCGCCAACGTCCCCTCAGCCTGCGCCGACCTCTGCTCCGTATTTAGTACATTACAGGTAATCGTCAGATCTCGCCCACTCCTCTTTGACCGGCTACTGACAGTAACGACACCCCGGGTTTACAGACGAGAACGAGCGCAAACGATCTGTGTACGACAAGGAACAGTAGCGGTCTCCAAGCTTGTGCAAACTGTCTTCTCACCGTTGGAGGACGTCAATTGATCAACAACGATTCTCTCGTCTCTTCAACACAACAGGCTGTCAACTGTACGTCTGTCCCTCTCTCTCGCTCCTAGCTCTCAAAATTCAACCATACTCATACCTTTCTTTTGCAGCTTTTGTGTCAGCCTGTAATGCCGCCTCGCTTCCGATCCCCGGCGTCCTCATCTCAGATCCGGCCACACAATCCAACACCGGCACAGGCACGAACCAGCGTTCCAATGCTCCCCGATCGCTTACCAAAGAAATCGGTCGTACCCGTACATCGGCAGCGTTGGGTATGAGCATCGTCGCCGGCTTGTTCCTCGTCGGCACTTCGTGGTAAAAGGGCTTCAAAAAACGACTCTGGTGTATTTACATTCTAGACGTATATGCAGCTATATAGTATTACCCACCATAACCTTCGTCCGTTGACTGAATGCGTGAAAGACCATTTTATCCACTTAAGAGCTGGCGATCCCAGATCAAGTACTATCATTCCCAAAAAATTCATAGCTATTACAACCAAATCAAGCATTGCTAGTCGAGCAGGTCATTTGACGTGCTTATAGTCCGTTATCTTTGTAAGAGTTCATATCCCAGTTCAAAGCCAGTACATCCGTTCGCTCGTTCTCTTGTGAAGCTGAGCCTCACCTTTGCGGTCGAACCATTCTTGGAACGTCACTTCGTCCGAAATTCTCGACGCTAAATCATTGTTCCGACCGTTGAGGGATTCGTAAAAGTGGATGGCAGATCGCGCGGCAACTTGCTGTAAGGGATAATTAGATCAAAGTTTGGAAACATTTGTAGAGGCTTACGTCTGCGTAGTAAACTGGTGCTGGGATGGAAACACTTCTTGTTGCAATTTGATATACATGGCAGAGATCATGAGAGAACTGCTGGAGGTCATCGGCGCTTACACCCCTGTCGTCGTATATCACAGAGTAATGTGCTGGTCTCGACGTTCCTCTACATTCCAGTGA